GCGGCAGCAGCTGGGGCGGTTTCTGCCATTACTCTCTCTGTGTGTAGTTTAACAGTAAACCAGACGCTCTCTAGATTAAGCAATGAGCAGCTGTTGAACTGCGCTGCGCTCTTATTTAAAACATGAGAACCTTATAGACTCAACCTGCCCGCTCTGTGTCTGCGAGCGTCCGCGAGCCGCTCGCGCTTGTGTTTTCTTCTCCTACATTTAAGAGCAAAACTCGAGTGCTAAAATAGTTTGGCGCAGTAAAAACAAAGTGAACACCAAGCAGAGGTTCTTGGCTTTCTGTGGAGACTAAAATACGCGGCGAGGAAATGTTTATTTTGCCCCGGTCAGATCAAACTCAAGGCGAGCGTCAGCCACGGAACAAAGCCGCGTGTGCATTTAATGCCTCGTTTAAGTGGAAAAGTTGATAAAAGATTAAACTCGTCCTCTGTGTGTTTCAGAAACAGTTTGAAAGTGAATTTAATGAAATGAGCATCAGTGAAGGGCGTGTGCAGTGTTTCATACAGTTGTTGTTTTGGGCAGCTTAAAGCACGAACATCCGGACACTTCGAGTCTGTCTGTGACTCATGTCTGGTCAGGAGATGATCTGTCATAATACTATTAGTAATAGTAATAGTAATAATAATCATAATAATAATAATAATAATAATAACTCAGGTCGGAGAGTTATGAATAAGTTTAGATTAATTCATGGAAATTAGCCACCACTTTGCCAAAATAATACATAATATAAAATGAACAGTGAAAGTAAAGCTTCTGGAAACAAACGTTCATCAAAGATCCTGATGATCTGAAGGATGCCTCCATGCCAGATAATTAAGATCCAGATCCTGTCAGAAAATATCTGCTGTGTCTGGTAACAGAACTAGTCAGCAGACTAATCTAATACCTAAAACCTGTTAACAGCAAGTCTTGTGTGGTACTCAAAATATCAGCTTCAATCAGCTGAGAAATTGACTGAGCAAAGCCAGAGAAGAGCAGAAGCAATAAAGTGATGATAAAAAGGAGCAGAGTTTACTGGTTACTTTCAATTGGGAGGTGGTTGTCCTGAACCGTAACCCCTAAATTTCAACTTAGGAAAATGATATTGAAATAATTTTGGCATTTTGTTTTTTCTATTGTTGTTTTTAAAACTATCTTTTTGATTATTTTAAAAAGTGAAGTAAAAAAAAAAAAAAACATTTATTTTATATTTTCTTTGTAAATTTTGAAACTTGAAACAGTGCTGAGACTGAAATTAACAACATCCCTACATTTATGATCAGGAAATATTTATGTGTCTCTCTCATAGCTACACGGTGAGTAGATAGGTCCCATCATTTTGAGGTAAATGTGTTCAAAATCTGAAAATCTGTGTGTAATGCCGAGTTCACACTGCACTATTTTAGCCCGATTTTTCACTCGCCGACAGGTTTTGCTAAATCGCCGACAAATGCCTGAAATCGGAGGCAAATCGGTGCTCGTTCACGCGATTTTTACTGGGGGGCCCCCTCACAAGCAATT